TTTTGTGATTGTGCAAAAGAGGAGTTTGAACACAAAAATGTGTAAAAACCAAGACCATCATATAATGGTAAAAATCCACTCACTCCTTTTTATTTTTTATAATCGGTTTCTTGCCTCTGGTTTTCTTAGTTTGTGACCTTTAATATTAGAGCTGATATTGTAAAACACTGACAAAGCGATATTTTGTTTTTCTGCGATATATATTGCGTTATGAAAACAATTGCACCTGATGATTTTAATAGCTCTATTCATAAAGAATTAATCATTCTAGGATGATTGGGCTAATTTTGTAGGGTTGTGAATCTGCATTGAAAATAATTAACAAATTACAAGCACAGATGAATACAATAGAAGAAACACAGATGAAATCAGCAGTGCTTTATGTTTTTCAGGTAAATTAACTATATTCAGGTACAGACATTGAAATATCAAATGTAAAATAACTGCATTCACTGTATAAATCAAATATGATTCAGATAATTAATATAGTTTATCTTTGTTAAAGGTGCTAAAGGGATTTTCTCGTTGTCTTTTGTTGTTTGATTAACTTTGACACAAACAGTTGTGGGTTTATTAGGCTACTGTCACTTTAAGACGAATGTGCATATTTAATACGACAACCATCCGTTTTCTTTCTATTTACAACATAAAACTGACTGTTTACGAGGAAACTCATCAAGACGGGCATTTTAACTTAATTTTCTGTGCACATGTTAGTTCAAGCACAAAGATCACTGATGTATGTGCACATCGCGGAATTGATGCTAAAACAATAGTTAATATTCAACAATATTATTGATCATTATATGAGAACTGAACTGAGCTGGACGATGACATCACGGTTTTCTCCAGAGCTGCTATATATATATATATAAATGAACTAAATTAGTGACTATGATTTTTTACAACCATAATAAATCATCACTGAACTTACTTAAGCTGGACTGTGACGCTATTTTCTTCTAGAAACAAACGTTGTTGCATTATTTTCCTGTTATTTCTGTAAATCTGATTTAAAACGCTCTGTGTTGTAAAAAGCGCTGTATAAATAAAGGTGACATGACTTGATTTTGTGAACTTTGTGTGTATTTGTCAGTTTAAGCGCAATAAGACGTGTGCGAGAGCTTAGTTTAATACTCTCGCTCCGTCTGATATCCAGCTTTCTGTGCTCCTGCTTCGATGTGTGTCTCAGAAAACCATAAATCAGAAGTGTAGACTGAAGTTTAAAACACATGCAGATCATAAACTCATGATAATGAAGAACTGCAGTGACGGCGATAGAGACGATCATCAATCAAACATGTTCTAGTTTTCGGCAGAGTATCAGCAGCACGAGCTGTAAAGGCTCCGCCCTCTTCTGGAAAGGGGGCGGAGCAGCAGCAGCTCATTTGCATTTAAAGACACATGCATGAAAACTGCATGTTTTTCTATCCACTCAAAAATGGGCATTTACAACATTGTATAAACATGAACTGTGGGATATTTTGAGCTGAAACTTTAAACACACATTCACTTTTGCAAATCATTTGATTTGAACCAGTGATTCGGAGTGTGTATCAATCTGCCAAAGTCATGTGATCTCAGTAAACAAAGCTTCGTTACACGTCTCAGAGTTGTGGACTCGAGTCGCAAGACTTTTGACTTGACTTGAATTTGAGTCCTAAATTGAATGACTTGAGACTCGACTCGTCATAATCAAAGAAGACTTGAGACTCGACTTTGACACCAATGACTCGAGACTTGAGCCCTGTTTCCCGGACTTGGAAAGTCTTTATGGCCTACATTCATTATATGTGCATTTGTACACATTTCATGACGTTTGTATAATAAAAAGGAAGAGTTGTATTTAAAAGTCACTTATTGGTCTGATTAATGAAGCTGTCTATAAAACAAACAATACAAACTAGGGGTGTAACGATACACTCAGCTCACGATTCGATACGTATCACGATACTGGGTTCACGATACGATATGCATCACGATATTTTGAACAAAATAAAAAAATTCAACTGAAAATCAAATAACAGATTTATTTAACATTAACAGTGTTCAATAACTGTCTTGTTATACATGCAACTTAAAGAATATACAATACTTCAATATAAATCAAGATTTAGTTTAACCTTCTGTACGTAAATAAATTAACAATGACTACTAGGTGTCACTGACCAATAAAACTGAATTGTATCATGAAATTAAAATTAGGATAGCCCAAGAAAGAACTTCTTTAAGCAGTAAAAGTGCAACAAAAAACACATCAAGTAGTGTCCTGTTCAAGTAATTTCAACACAAACAGCTTTTTTTTTTTTTTGGTTACTTACAGGTTTTTTTGCAAGAAAACTAGCATATCTACATTTTCTGGCAGTAGCTGGGATCTTTGCGCATTTACAATATCCCCTGCTGTCGAAAAAACACGTTCACTAGGAACAGAAGTTGCTGGAACTGTGAGGTAAGCCTTTGCAAGAGGTGAAAGAAGAGGGTACATTTGAGCATTTTCCTTCCACCATTTCAGTGGACAGCTAGTGAGGGGAATAGAAGTGTCCTTTTTGTACATGTCAATCTCTACTTCTATCCTAGTTTTGGACTGGGTGACTGGTGGTTCAGAAAAAGTTGCACCAAAGAGCTCTTCCAGTGCTGTCTTTTTACTAGGTGGTTGTTCTGGCTCAACTCTGTGTGCTGCATCTCTTTGATCTGCTGCATCAGTGGGATATCCATCACTGGCACCTCCCTCCTTTGTTTGCTTCCCAAGTGACAGCCTTAAAATAAACTAAATAAAACAATTAAGGTATACTAGTAAGTAAGTATAGTTTCAAGTACATACACAAAAGGTGTGCACAAAGTAGGTTACACAAACATGCAATTAGAGTGACAAACACACACAAGTGCAAATACACAGATTCTCAGACAATTTGTAATGCAGACAAGAAGACATACCTGTTGTAACTGGTTTGATTTGTTCTTCAACCGGTGAAAAACCTCTTCACGTTGTTCAGGGAGTAAGTGGGGCAATGACCGAAATCTGGGGTCCAAGGCAGTACCCTCTAGTAGATAATCCTGTTCCTCTGTGAATCTGCTTGAGAGGTTTTGCAGGATGGCTGTCTTCATGTTAGCAATAGTTGTGGAGTCTTTCTCGTCCGGTGTCATGCTCTGTTCGATCATGGCTTTCAAGGGCAATATGAGTGACAGCGTGGGGCTCTTTTCATCAGACAGGACAGTGGTTGCTTTTTTTAACGGTTTAAGAAGGTTTACGATTTCTTCGGCGTCACTGATGTCAGCGCTATCCATAGTATCGAGTTGACGTGCATTTTTGCGCACCTCTGTGCTCAAGAGGGCTGCCGTTATCGCAGCTTGTTGCTCGAGATAGCGTTCCAGCATCTCCATTGAGCTGTTCCAGCGTGTAACAACATCCATGATAAGCTTGTGTGATGCGATCTCAAGCATATTTTGCTTTGCCGCGAGCACAGCTGTTGCTGTGGTACTGCGGTGAAAGAAAGCCACGACTTTCCTCACGCGACCAAGCAAGCGACTGACGCGGGGAACATTCAATCCTGCTTGCGAAGCAAGATTCAAAGTGTGTGCAAAACACTTAATATGCGGTGACATCCCTGCTTCCCTCACTGCCACAACCATGTTGCGTGCGTTGTCTGTAACGACAGCAATGCTATGAGCAGATCTTTCAAGCTCCCACTCTTGTATGGTCGCTTTTAAAACATCAGCTATGTTTGTACCAGTGTGCGACTCGAAAAGCGGGCGAGTCTGAAGCACAACACTTTTCATTTCCCACTCTGTGGAAATAACATGCGCTGTGACTGTGATGTAACTCTGAACAGCCCTCGAAGTCCATCCGTCAGTTGTTATCGCCACACTCTCAGCATTTTTCAAAACATCTGTCACACTTGCTTTAACTTCGTTGTACAGGGCTGGAATTACCTCCTGACTGAAGTGCGGGCGTGACGGAATATGATATCTGGGCTCCAGTACCCTCACCAATTCGCGAAATCCAACATTTTCGACGACCGAGAATGGCCTCATGTCTTTTGCGATAAAAACTCCGATGCACCTGGTTATTTCTTGAGCTTTTGCACTTGACTGAGACCATGTTGAAGCAAAACTACGTTCTAAAGATAGCTGGCCTTCTTTCACTCTCTTTTTCGCACCCAGTTGCAGGAGTTTCTCTTTGTGGTACCGTTTTAAATGACACATCATATTTGTAGTGTTCGACGTCGTGTATAACAGTGTTTGTTTACAGTATTTACACACAGTTCGTGTTTTGTCTGTTTTTTTACCGTCCTCCTGTCGAGTAACTGGAAAACCAAAATGCTGCCAGACGTCAGACTTGTAAGTGGACGGAGCATCTTCTATTTCTATTTCAGACGAAGTCGAACTCATTTTGCCCTGCTACTGCTCACAGTTCAAGCGATTCATTTGAGCCTGAATGCAAGCGTGACGTATGACGTGGGTGCGGTAGCTCAACCAATAGGATAAAACGGACGTCAAATCGTAAAAAAAAAAAAAAAAAAATGTTTTATATAATATCGTCATAACTCTACGATACATATCGTGACATTTTTGCATCGCGATAAATCGTACCACGATATATCGTTACACCCCTAATACAAACCCTACAATTTAATATAATATCACGTATTATAAAGATCCCTCATATTTAATGATGTTGTTGTATGATTTGTTAATTGCAATAAATGGATTACAGCTTCAATGAAACATTAGCAGTTGTTTGTAAAGGTGTTTTCCTGCGTGTTTCTGCTTGTAATTACACTGATCTGACCAGCAGGAGTCGCCAGAGTGGCGCTGAGAATCACTGAATCACTTCATCAAGCAAATGATATAATACATAAAATTTTATTATTTTCTCTTATTGCTGGAACTTACAGACATTCATAACAATTGATAATACATTTTTTAAAACATTGAGATTTCATGGTGAACTTTGGACATTGTATGTTCTCATGTCCTTTCTTTTTAATCTATGGTCATTAGATCAGAAGGTCGATGTGCTCAGTCGTAACAGCGGATGCACATTTCACACACACACACGCGTGATCAGACCAGTCATCACTTTATCAGAACCAGTAGGATCAGTGAGTAGTATGAAGCTGCAGACTCGGAGCCTGCATCTACAGTCCCGCACCCAGAGTACCGCGTTCTCAGACCCCTTGTTTTTCGGATGCAATATTACGGTCTCGTTTTATTTAAAGTTATCCAAATAAATATTTGCGTTCCCTGCTTAATGCATGTGCCAAAAAAAACTCATTGTGTTCTGACTAACAAATTACCCAGTAGGCCTTATTTTTTGAGCGTGGGTGTAATTGAAAGAAAATTACTGATGGAAGGGATACAATCACAGATTGAACTATCTTCTGAAAATAGTATGTGATATTATATTGCTACAATGTTTTTTTTTTAATTAAAATTCCAAATTTTCTTTCAGTTCAACCTATACACAAGTTTACGCGGCAAATCGTGGGCGGCGCCATAACTCTACACATATGCACTTAATTTCCGCCGGAAGTAGTTTGCACAGCGTCTGCCGGTGTAAACACAGCTATTAAGATGCTAGCTTGGGAACACGGTTCCACTACTTTAACTGGAGATGGCGTTACTATCCCCCACCCGAATTCAGTACAGAACTGGGAGGATAACATGATGACGTGGCCCAGGATAACGTACAGTAATATTTGCTCCTACTTTGCACAATCCATGGCAATAGACGGAAAAGCCATGGACAATCTGAAAGCCTCCGAGGCGTACCAATATCTGCACAGCAACAAAGTCGGTTGTGTTATGTCATACAAACATGATCACTTTATTTATCTTAAAGCAAATGTAGAGCCTAGCCAGTGTTTGAACAATGCGTGGCATAATGCTTGGGTGCTGGTAACTGAAGCTGGAGAAGTTAAAACTACGGGATGTACGTGTGTTGCTGGACCAGGTAGATCTTGTTCCCACTCAGCTGCGATTCTGTGGAAGGTAACTAGATTATTTGACCATTGTAGCCTAGGCCTTTTTTATTGTTGGTATCCGAACTACATCATAGGCGACTTGGCTAGAGTGCAAAGTGTGTGTGCCATGATGATAATAATTAGGCGCGTGAGATGTGCGGGCGCGAACGTAACTGTGTGTGTGTGTGTGTGTGTGTGTGTGTGTGTGAGAGAGAGAGAGAGAGAGAGAGAGAGAAAGAGAGAAAAAAAGAGAGAGAGAAAAAGAGAGAGAGAGAGAGAAAGAGAGAGAGAGAAAACTTTACAGGCATGTTATTTTTTATTGTAACAAATACTTTTTATTAATGTGAATACATTTTTATTCATGTGATGCAATAAATGTGTTTTTAATTGATTTTAATTGTATGTATTTTCATTGTAAATGTATTTTAATTAATTGTGTATAGTGTTTAGTGTATATCTGAAGTTAATTCAATAAATACGTGTTTCATACACCTCAATGTAGTCCATTGTTGATTATTATGATTATTATCCTATGCCCCGATTCTGTAAACCCTACAATATAGGCCTGTCTTTTTAGCGCAGGGGATTAGCTACTGTGAATGCGCAGCTAAAATAACAGGAAAAAAATTGTGATAGAGGTTCCTTTGAGATAATTGGCCCCGGGGCCTTGCAAGTCAAAATCCGTCCCTGACTATATCTCTCTAGGTGGAAAATGCTGTGAGACAGGGGAAAACCGGGAGTGCCTGTACAGACGGACAGAACCAGTGGAATGCTGGGTCTAAAAGGAATGCTGGTCAGAGGAAGATGAAGTATGTGCACTTCAAACGGCACAACAGGAAGGATCTCTATCAACCGCCGCCAACTTCACAGCCATCCTCTACCACTCCAGAACCGGCACAGGAGGTGACACGCTTTAGGACTCATGAAGAGTGGAGGAGGAACGCACTTGCATCACCAATGGCAGAACTTTTCAAATGCCCTGGGAATAGCCTTCTGCAGCTCTGCTTTAATGCAAATACCTCCTCCATCATCGAGCCATCACCATGTCCAGGCCTCCATCTCCTAACCCATGATGAGCACCACACACCACTGGCTTGTGTAAAATGCAGAACCTTCTACGATAAATACATTAACATGTCCACAGCCCAGCTTGAGGAAATTGAGAAGGTTACAAAATCACAGAGCAAAGAACAGGTCTGGCATGATGCACGGAGAGTGCGCGTCACAGCAAGCACGGCTAAAAAGGTGCCCGCTCGCTCAACCACGGCGCCTGACAAGTTTTTGTCAGATCACTTACACCCATCCTTCCGTGGTAATGCCGCAACCCGTCAAGGAGCGGAGGGGGAGGAACTTGCGAGGGACTATTTGGAAACTCTGGGCAACAGCATTGAAACCAAAGGCTTAGTGGTGTGCGAAAAGGAACCGTGGCTTGCAGCATCTCCCGATGGAGTGATAAACAAAGACATTCTGTTGGAGATCAAATCACCTGTGATTGGAAACAAGTCACTTGCAGAATTTTTACCATTCACGACTCTTGGGGTGCTCTCAGCCTTTTTGAAAAGTTCAAAGGTTATTTCATCTCGGCAACTCGTCCATCAAAATATTCTATGAGTTGCCCAGTGGAAAATACCACATGAGGGGTGTTCATGTGCATTTTCCACGTCGGCTTTTGGTATTTACCATAATTACCATCGCACATGAACGCAGCATAAGGCACACGCAGGCATGCACACACACACACACACACAAAATTAATGATGTAGCTATCGTGGGCATTGTTTGTCCCATATCCAAAACAATCAACTGCCTCAGCAAAATACCGGTAGCAATGTTAGTGTATGACAACTTGTTCATAATTAACAGTATTGTCAAATTCATAGCTAAATTTGCTTTACTTACCCTCAGATGCAAGTCTGCGTTTCTTTCTCTGGGTGGAGACAGTGGTCCGCTGGGTGAGTTGACGCCTCTTTGGCTGGGGAGGGCGATTGTATCCCAACCACAACTCTGGGAAAGGATTATCCTTGGTTGGTTTTTGGTCAACAAAGTGATAGGAACAAACAAAAACGATGCGGGGTGGTTTCTTTAGATTCAATGCCTTCAGCCAGGTCCTTGATTCCGAGTCGGTATCAGGCTTGCGAAAAAATGTAAACAATGGAGCGCATGGACATTGCCTCTTCGTAGCTGGTTTGTGGTCGTAACACTCTATCTAACCACTCGTTCAGGTGCTTTCGCGAGTTTTTGCACCCAACTACCGCACACGTCGTTCCCGAACCACTTTTATTCATGTTGTAAGTTAATTGTTATCCTCTTTGTCACTGCGATATCAGTGCTTTGTCGGCACAACGGAGCTAGGTAGCATTACCAGCCCGCCAGAACGGAAGTGGATTGCATAAACGGGAGGAGTTTAGGATGTAGAGCGGAAACGGCTCAAAAACTTGTGTATAGGGATGTTCGCCGGCGTCAAATGTGACGTCACGATATGGGCGTGGCCGCGAACTGGTTGGCAGAAAGAACCATATCGCATGTTAACAGATGGCACATAATCAGGGGATACTGATCATTGCTTTTCACAACAATGTTTTTTAATACCTTAACTTGTTTAAAAACAACAACAGCACTGTCAACAACATGCTCACACCATGGAAGTATAATCAATGTTATTCCATTGCTCAGTCACAAACATGCACACAAAAAGTAGTGTAAACAAAGACTTTGACACATCTTCCGAGGTATTTTGTACAGTTATTCATTCATAAATTATATAGAACCTACTAGTAACATTTATTTACTAAATTAGTTTTAATTTTTAACGCAAAATGTAGGTAGCAGACGCGATCGTTTTCCGCTGGGTTCTAGACGCCTAAATTGCAGAAATCCACAGCTTTCTTCTTGATTCAGGCTGTTTAGGTACGCGGTAGAAGCTCTTGGGGTTACTCTTATCGAACCTGTTAACACAGCCGATCACACACACAGCACGATACAACCATTTTTTTTCTGTGTTTGCGCTGCGCAGCAAGCGGCCATTACCTTTCTTCTGCCAACCAGAGCGCATTTAACCGCGTCGTGACGTCACGGCGAAGAGCCCTATAGCTAATGGTCTAATTAACATCACACCATGAAAAATCTTGTGAGTATTCACTCTAATTGCTAGTTCAGGTTTGGCTGAAGGCTGCAGTTTGTCCGGTCAGAACAATGATGTCTCACTCAGGTTATATTCCAAATCGTAGGTTTATTAAATGTGCATAGATGTGTGGTTCTGTGAATACAAAATAAAGATATAAATATATATAAATGTATATAAAACACAAACAACTTATTTGGTAAAATACTGACTAATAGCGGTGAAATATAACACAATACAATCTCTATGATGATATACTTGAAAAAGTGGGACTGGATGTGTGTGCGCTAACGCTGTGCACGAGCTGTGCATGCGAGCATGACTACTGCTGCATGTGCGGTCGAACCGAGATGTAAACAACTGAGCGCATGCGCGCGACCTGAGATACAACCGTGCATTGGTGATAAGGAATAAATATAACTAGAATACGTATAACATCAATATACATGGAATGGCAGTAATGTCACAGCAGTAGAATATAATTAAGTAAACAACCTTAAATGTAAACACAGCTACAGGCGGATTAGCGTTCGCTGAGAATGTTCAACAATTATGTGATTACTTACAGTGTGATGCACGCACACGCACAATCGATAAAACTCCTCCGATTTGGGCTAATGCACTATATTTCACTCTACAAACTATATACAGTATTCAACCGATCTCCTTTTCCCTTTATTATCTGTCTACTCTCTTCCCCTTCACTTCGCGAACTCCGGTGGAAAGTTTGGAACAGTCCATTTCTCGTTGAATGACAGGGGTGACTGGGAGAGTCCATGTGCCAAAGGGGAGCACTTTCTACACACCATCCTAATATTACAAACCCTGTTTTTTGATATTTTGAATGCGAAGCAAAACTCAAATAAGAATAGACAAAACACCAATAATAAACAATTCTGTACTTTATTTAATGATCACCTAAACATCATCTTGCTGTAAACAGGACAAAGCAAAGAAAAAAGGAAGAAAGAATTGTGTTAGTGACTTTGCTTTTCGTCTTCAATTGCATTAAAAAT